CTACCCCTCCTGGCCCCTCCCCTGCCGTCTGCGGAGCCTCGTGATTTTTCGGCCGGCACAAGGCGAATGCCAGAGTAATACCCTACCAAACGGGCCACGGACCGCACGCGATTTCACCTTCATCTTCCTTGTCTTATCCTCACCTCTTAAACACACTAACATGCACTACACTACCCCACATTCCAGGAGATGTCAGGAGCTAAGAGTTTGTCCCGGCTCTGACGGTGTCCCGCTGGTGGGAGATACCTGGTACGGGAAAACCTCGCTAGCTGATGGTATGTCGGCGCCGGATCTCGCCATAGAGCGGGGGAAAGATCACCGCCACCTCCCGAGCAAAAAAACACACATTACACTTACGGGACTAATGACCCTGGTAGTTGATTTACTCGAAATCACTAATCAATCAATCGAACATGACGTTCAAGCACTCGATTGGACAGCTGATTAAACATCAAGTGCCATTACAAAGAAATCGAAGTGTAGGCGAATAACTGGCAACGGTAACCCGCTACGTTGCCGTGGCCGCGCCCTGCCTTGCCGGGAGCGCGTGCCAAGCTGGTCGCCGGCGTGCGGCGCCGCGAGCTGCCGCGAAAGCGCGCGATTTCAGCCGAGCGGCGCGCCACGCGCTTGGGCAACGGAGGCGTTGCGAGAGGTGGGAGCGGGCACGCGGGCTCAGAACCCGCCGCCGCCGCCGTCAGTTCTCGTGTACTCTGAACCGAAAGGATCCGAAACCAGGTAGAACAAGAATTGGATTAGGGAAAAATGTCATAAGAGGTCTCTAGTGGGACCGGGAGAGCGGGCTTAGGGTATCAACTGATGTCACTGCAGTGCCTCTGACCGGGAGGTCGTAGATTCGAGTCCCGACGGTGGCAGGATTTTCGACACTAACCTCAAAGATGGGTCGAATTCAGGTGCTGTTGAAGGAGAATTCTAGCGACTGGGTGCTCTCATCGGTTCAAAATGGTGATTAAATCGTATGCTCCATTGTGTTTTATTAAAAGGTGTTTAATAGTACTCTCCATTGTTTTTTATTACATGGTGTTCAGTATTGTTCATTGTTGTCTTAAAATCAATATATGTCCAGTTTGTAAAACTGCTCAAAAGAACGGTTGTAATGCCCAGATGTAACAGAGGGTGCTAGATTACTTTAGATTTCTAATATAATATTTATTCATGATGTGCGACATTTCGCTATGAGTTATCAGCATCGTTTGAGACACATAATTTTCATATTCAGTCTTCATACGATATTTTTGTTGTTTTTCGGTTATCATTTTTCGTATTTATTCATTATACGGTTGTGGTTGTGAAAATTTATTATTCATAAAATATAATATTAATATACTCTCGATTCGAATTCTGAAGAAAACTCCTTAGAGCTGGAAATCTGCATGATGAAGTATCTTTTGTTGTTCGAGGCCGAATCTCGTGGACCAGGCCTAGTAAATGAAGAGGTGAAGACAAACTTCGTAATCAAGTTACGGAGTTATACGAAGTTATGAGAGGAGAGAGCATGACCAATCTTGCCTTTATTAATTAGCAAACAGCGGAGTTTGGTTTAGAGAACCTTCTGACGTCTAGTTTGCCGCCTTTCAGGGATTTCTCTCTTAACACTGTATGGTTTCTTTTGTATGACTTTGATGCAATGGAGGAATTTTCTGGGGTGAACACCGCGAGATTAATAGCTTTGAAAAATAATAAAAATAAGTGCATGTATCAACCAATGTTTCTGCTCGTACGTAATAATGAAATTGAAATGCACTATTTTAATATTAATTGCACACACAGGAATATAATGTAAACGCTTTCAACGAATCCCTAGGGACGAAGAAATTTCTTTCGTTTTCGTTTGGGCCATGCAAATTGATCGTAAAGGAAACCAAATTACTTTTAAATCGAAAATTGGATAAGTTCGTAGAAATTCACTTTACTTAGTGCAAAGGCGTTGGGTTTGTGAAGAAGGAAGAATGTGAGAAAGGTGAAATGTTCAGGATAAGATCCGGTGGATATTAAAGGGCAAATGTGAAAGGATAAGTGTGATAGGTAAAAGAAAGTGCATAATGTGAAGCATCTGATTGTGAGTGAATATTGTATTACATAGTGTATGTGTGCGTGCGTGTGTGTGGGCATGTGAGCTGCATGTACGTGTTCCTGTACCTGTATATCGAATACAACTACTCTACATTTACAAAGTTGAAAAATATATATTAATGTGTGTATGCTATACACCATCATACTGCGTGAACGTGTGTAGATCGATAGTGTACAGTAGTTCAAACGTTTTACTTTTAAGAAAGATTTAGACTTTTTAAAAATTGAGTATTTAGTGTATTTTCCAAAGATAAAACTACATTCATTCAACAGTTAAATTAATGGCAGATACAAGTTATACGTATCTTTTTTTAAGACTTTTTTTTCTCTTGTGAGTATAAATGATTTGTTTTTTTCATATCTTTCTAAAAGGATGTTTAATATACGTAAAGTTTAAAAATTTGTGACCAATTCCTTAATTTTTGTTGAATTTATATTCGCTTGTAATATTACCGTAACTTGCAGTAAAATTTACTATTCGTAGCGATAGTGTTTGAATGTAGTTTGAAGTTCACATTGGAAATGGTCACGTCACAAAATTCTTATATTCCTTCACTAAAGTGTGAACATTGTCTATTAATTATGTTTTTTCACTGAATTGTGGCTTGTACGTCTTTTGATTTCACACGAATGTGCACACAGAGAAAAAGTTCATTACTTGTCATTAGTTTCAAATTTATTTGAGAGGAGAAACATGCACAAATTACTCGATGTATCTCATCGTGTTTCTGATATTATTGATGCAAACAGACGTTATTAGTTGCGAAATGGAGTAGATTTGTACCAGCTCAAGCGCGAAATTGGATTGTAATTAAGGACCTAGGAGATTCAGTCGCTTTACAGAAACCAATTTATTCCAAAAATTGGATTCACGTTCTGGGAATATACACATGAATATTTAAAACTTCTCTTCACTTCCCGGAAAGTAATTTTATAAGTAAAGAAGAAGAACTTCGTAAAGAATAGTGCAATACTATGGTTGTTACAAGAACATTGGTCAGTAATGAAGTTCATGACAGGAAGAAAAAATGAGAATATCTGTTATTCAGTACAAAATTATCAATAGCCACAATGTCAAAAGATAATTAGTCAGAAGAAATTAAGCAGAAGGAAAACATTGTTGAGCTACAAATACTTTTATATCGGAGGATTTTTAAATGCCAGTTGATTTTAATGCATATTGCATGTTATTATAACTTTCCGGGTCTTCAAAAAATCAAATATATTATGCGTAATAATAAATCTTACTTTTCAAGATTAACTTCATTGATCTCTTAAATTCACTATATAAAAAGAAGGAAAAGAAATAAAGGAATAGACTCATAACAAATTAGTTTGTTATGCAATTCGTCCTTTTTAACATTTGGTACTTAGTGACGAAAATGCAGTTACATCGCAGTTTGTAAATTTCTTTGTGATATAAATGATTATGGTTTGCTGTGAAAGTGAACATAATGTTCGTGACAATATTTTGTCATCTCGTGATCGAGCCATTCTTGATCGTGTTCTCTCTCTGAGAGAAGGGCTTTCGATTTGGTAAGTGCGTTAATGCAAATTGTTTTTGTCAGCCAATACCTGTCCTTCGCATCCTCCCATTTAGTTAAATCTTTTTACCCTTAGTTTATGTAACATATTTTTCTGCTGTTGCTTCTCTGTCTTGCAATTGTCCAAGTGTCTGCAATTTCTAGTCTTAAGTAAGAAAAATGCCGAAATGGGAAAATGTGACATTAAAATAATGTCGCGATTTAATGCTATTGAGATGATGTAAATTCGATAAACGCCTTTTGAACTTCTTGAAAAACAGTATGAGTACTGGATATAATCGCTGGAATATATTAACATATTTTATTATAAAATATGAGGATGATTTCATTATTACACCACTTGACATTTACAAGTCTTACGTAATTTAGTTTATCGAAAGAAAACAAAATGTCAAATACTAATTTGGTTGTTTTGTTTTACCTTTCCACATATGTTCGTTATGTTTGCATGAATATGTTCCAGCTTATTTTTTTACGTAAGGTGTTACGAAATGAAAATAATAATCTGTTAACAATTCTTCTGCCTATTCGTTCACAATAATCGCAATAATTGTACGAATAAAGACATGTACACATTCCGACAATTAGGCGGCCGCTCATTTCCGTTTAAAAGCTCGCCAGAAACTAGCTTGAAAAGCACTAATACCTCCCTTTTTTTGAAACAGCAACGCATCCTCTCCACAAAAACCCATTAATTTCTCTGATTCCATCGCAACGTCCTTCTTTCCTCCCGTGTCGCCCGCACCCGGACCTTTTTTAGAAGAAGCGGAA